GTTCTGACGCTCCCTTCGACGCTGGAATAAATTCTTCCGGTGCATGGACAGAGCATCTAGAGTGTTGCTCATTATCAGACGACGAGCCCGAGCCGACAGATGGACATCATGAACTGCAGCCCATTGAAGAGATCGTCAAAGCAGCTCGTGCGCTCTACGACTTTGAAGGAAAGGCTGAATTCAAGGAACTGACGGTCGAGGCTGGAGATGAACTGAACATTTTGAAAGAAGAAGCCGGAGACGGCTGGAGCTTGGTGAGAGCGAGCTCTGGTGAAATAGGGCTGCTACCTCAGACCTATTACACGGTGAGTACTAATCATACTGATCGCTCGACGTTCGTACGCTTTATCTGGCTCACTCTGTCCGTGAAGTGCACGACTAGTTTTCTTTCTGTACCATTAGCCGTTCATGGGAGAAAGCAGCCGTCTACCAGCACGATCATCCCCCAAGCATGCCCCCAGGAACAGTCGAAGCCGCTTTCTATCGTGCCTCAGGATACCGGTGAATGGATGAACCCTCTCCCAAGTTTCAGGCAAAGCCTTCTTAGAGGCAAGAGTTTGAATCGGTTCTCCGGGTTCGTGACAAGTGGTGCAGAAGAGTGGGTTCTCGGGGGCCATGTCGATCCAGTCGCTTCAAGTTCATCCATTTCACACCAGCGGATCTCTACGGAAGATTCTATCAACGATGATAATAGGCTCAGCAGACTTGGGCTGGGGGAAGCAGACAGGCACTATATTGACGCTGGCCCTACATGGCAACCTAAAGTTCCGAAGTTTCGAGTCTTGGTTCACTCACCTTCAAAGCGCACGTCGGGCCTTTCAGGAGCATATACCGTGTATAGTGCCACTTCACTGTTTTCTTCGACTACGGATGAATCATATGATCAATACATCCCACCGATCTCTCCTACCCGTATAACAGTTCAACGGCGGTTTTCTCACTTCATCGTGTTACATACTTCGCTGACTAGACGTCTTCCCGGAATTGCACTCCCGCCACTTCCTGAGAAACAATATGCTGGGCGGTTCAGTGCTGATTTTGTCGAGGCTCGTAGAGGCGAACTCGAAAGATATATCGGGTGTATTGTGAGGCACCCTGTTGCACGATACGCTGAAGTCGTCACATCTTTTCTTGGTTGTGAAAGTGATGTGGTGAGCGTAATTGATGGGTTAACTTTTGTTTTCTAACCCATGTCCAAGGAATGGAAACGGCTTATGCCCCAATTTCTTTCAATGCCTGCTGCTGGGCCTTCATTTTTCGCACACGTTTTTCATCCCGCATTCAACGTAGATGTGGACGATGCCACAGAAGTAATAGATCGCTTCAGCCGTCACACCCTCATAGTGGGCAAGGGCACGCAGAGTTTGAGAAACATCTTTGGTCGCATTCGTGAAGTGAGACTAGGTGAGTATGGGTATGTCAGTTGTGCTAAATCATCACCATGGCATGCTTTCCAGAGATGTCGAAAGCCGAACGATTGTTGTCGTATTCATTGTTGTCCTTAATTACATCGACACCTTTGTCTTCTGCTCCCCTGACCGGGGTTAACAAGGATGCGGAGGACACGCCTCTACAGAGAAACGGCCTCCTGAACGAAGAAGGAGCTTGGTGTTGGCGTGAAGGCTGTCAAGGTGCTCACGCGAATTTCTGGAGTTCATGATTAACTGAGACATGACTCGAAGATTGTCTAAAGCTCACAAAAGCGATGCAGAAAACATCAGATAATCTCCAGATTGTTGCAGACCTGTACGAGGATCATGTTTGTGTCTTATTCCTTGTGCAAGACTCGTATTGACCACAGATGAAGGCCCGGCACACCCAGCTTGCAACTCACGAAGCCCTCAAGAACGTTGCTCATCCATACCAATTGTATGAGGTATTTTGAATTGTTCGATCACTACCTTCGCCCTGAATGTAATTATTTCAGGGGATCATTGAAACCCACCAATCTACTGTTTCGCGATATAAAGACACCCTCAAATCGGGGAAGGTCAGAACGCTCGCAATCTTCGTGGAAGACGATGACTTGATGATATGTCCAGTCGAACGATGAGATGACCGCACGCTGCGAAACCGTCTTGAATACTACTATGGCTGAGATGGACACATACCACGACCAGAAAGTGGAAAACTTCAGCACAATAATGAAGGAGCATCTTGATGGTGAAATAAACTTCTACGAGCAGGTCCTGCACAAGTTGAAGGCAGCCCGGCGCACCTTCGACGCTCCACGTTTTGACGAGCTGAGCAGGTCACCTCGTCAACCTTCAAGATACGAACGGGATTTAGAAGCCCCGAAGCTAAATCCTCCACCATTGCCACAGCCTTGTCCTCATGTCTATGACTCAGCGCCTATGAGACCAGTGAATACGGTAATACACGAGGGGATCGGAGCACTAATGGGAAAGTCCCAACCTGGTAGGAAAGGGAGTCTTTTGAGAAGAATGTGGGCTGAATAAAGTACCTGGTGCGGTATCGGGGCTGTTACGGTCATTTTGGGGCGTTGCGTGGCTGACTTTGTTGTATCTGATATGTTCTGGTAGGATAGCCTGAGTATTTGATGCGGTATTGAAATATGTGCTAAGATCATGAATACCGCTTTCCTATGTCATATATTACTACTAAGTAGAAGGCATTTTCGACATGAAGATTCGGATGGACAATATTGATTTAGCCTTTAAGTGTATTGCCATCCGACTTTTCAACTTGATTCTAGTTAAGATCTGAATGCTGCACTCGGATCAGCGTTCAATGACCGGTTGCAGAGTACTGCCATTGCAATCGGTATGTAAGCACACATCGCGCGTCTATCCGACGTCCATCATACGTTGATGTTCGCATAATAAACTGACAGACATTAGATCCATACTCATCGCGGCTAGGTCCAAAAAATGCCGACTGTTGTACCACTCCCAACATATCCTCCTGCAAGCGCCAGAAAGTCGTTATCAGCCTCGCAGCTGGCAACTTTCCATAGCAACTTATCAAACGCCCTCGCTGAAATCCTTGCGCTACCTCCCGCGAGACGAGACAACCCTGCCACCCGTAGTTTTCTATCCAGCTACGTCAATGAAGTAGCCCATCAAACCCTGCAATCTCTGATCTGGGATGCTCCACCGTATACAGACAACCATGTACACGCACGCGTCCTATTCCTTGCGGAGAAGCTAGCTACAGTACCGTCTTGCTTCGACGTGAAGACACTCCTGGACGTCGCCATCGCATACTTTCCTTACCCAACCCGTGTCCGTGCCCTTTTCATCGCAGCTCTCGCTAGCACGCTAAGCCTTGCTACTGTATTCACCTCAGATATGGTTCCTGTGCTGACTACCCTTCTCGAGCCATCCCGCTGTGCGGGTTTATACGGCCTCCGCAAAACCGCACGCTGCTTTGTCAGTCTACTCTCTGGTTGTCCCCCCGAGCTCGTGCGTCCATTCGCGAGTGACCAGGATTTCATGACGGGACTGGCACAAGCGTACGAAGAAGGACTTGCTGCACTAGCACGTTCGTACGGTGGAATACGCACGGACATCGGTACGCGGGAGCTGGATGACTGGGAGCGTATCTGGCTCGAAACCAAGGTCGACCTCATAGACAGCTTCCACATCGTTATTACCGTCATGATCCAAGACCTCTCAGCCGCATCCGGTGCAGCGTTGGCAGCAGAGTCAGAACGAACGTTCAACATTGTATTTGCATTATTGAACCTCCCACCCCCGCCAGCAGTACAAGCGGGCAGTACTCCTAGTACTGCTGCTCCTTTCCTCAACCGATCGCTGATAGCCGACTATCAACACTCGTATAACTTGTCTAGCACTCTTGCTTCTGCTCTACGTCGCGCTGCACGTGAAGACGCCCGAGTTGACCACCTCGAATCCACCCTTCGTTCCTTCGATATTGAATCTTCCGCTGCTGGGACCAAAGATCCTGGGGCGCTTAAGCTGATCATCAAGTCATCTGGCATCCCACCCGGCGCCTCTGCTTCTGGGAAGAGCAAAGCGGCGCAGTCTTCAAGTAAGGGCAAAGCCAAAGTAGTGCGCCCTGAACCTGAGCCGCATGATCTCGACGTGGAGATCTTGCAGGTCATGGACATCTTCCCAAACCAGTCGCCCGAGTATATCCGGGAGCTCCTCAAGCAGTCTGTGTTCAAGAATGCAGAGAAGGTCATTGAAGCACTATTGGAGGGCACTGCACCCGGAGAGTCTTCTGTTGCGGAGGATGTCAAAAGCGCCCATACCATGCCCAGTGAGCCCATTGAGAGAAAGAACGTGTTTGATGACGAGATATTGGATGTTAGCAAGATACGTTCGGGGAAGAAAAAGTACGGAGCTGTATTCCTTTGTTTGTCCTGTTACTCACTGTTCTACTCTAGCCAAGATGAGGCATCAATACTTAGGGACAGAGTAGCTGTCGAGCAGATGAAAGCCGACATTCTGCGACGTGCAGAGGCCATGGCTGACGCGGAGGAAGATGAAGACGGCGGCAAGGCAGCTGAAGTCGATCATGATATCGACTTTGGAGACGAAGTGAAGGTTATCGGTGATGGAGAGGCTAGCAGCGAGGGCGAAAACGATAGCGATGAGGATGGGGTACCGCCGTCGAAAGTCACTCCGGAGACTGTTCTTGAGCTTGCGTATATCCGTGATCCGGAGCTGTTTGCCAGAGATGCTAGTACGCGGAGGTCGAAAGCACGTAGTGAGCTCAAAGCACAGACCGGCAAGTCCTTTGTTGTCTTACTAGTCGCGTTGCTAAGTTAACATATAGGCTGGTCGGATGAGCAAATTGAGGGATGGAGGATTATGCTGGAACGAAATGTATGCTATCATTGTCTTCATAACTGGTCGGTACTGATACTCCCATCACCCCGCGTCCAGCCAAACAAGGACAAGATCCTGCAGAAACACGAGTTTTCTGGGAATAGACTGGTGGATTTGTCAATGACTGGAAATGCAAGTGGTTCTGGGTCATCGTCCCGCGGTGGAGATCATGGAAGAGGCAGGGGTGGGCGCGGGGCAGGGAGAGGAAGAGGGCGCGGCAGAGGGTCTGGAGATGGTGGTGATACGAGAGAGCGAGCATTGAAAGATAAGAACAAAGCTAGCAGAGGGAACCACAATCGGAAAAGGGGACATGACAAGAAGATGGCCAAAGCCGGTCCGTCTTAATGCATAGGGGCGATGGATGCAGATGCTTTTCTCAATTTATGTGATGCGAGGTGTGCTAAAATACAACAGGAAGTTTGTATATGCTGGTAGATAATCAATGTGTAGGCATGCTAGTTTCTGTTTCTTTGTACCGAGGGAAGAGCTTATCGAACCTCGATTCAAATGTGAGCTCAATCACGTCGTTGACCAGTTGCATATCTATATTACTGGAATGAGAACGAGCAAGGACAAACAATGTATTGAAAACCATACCTAGCTCGCCTTCTGAATCCAACGGAAGTGTCGCCATGGCTTTTATTGTGGACGCATCTACCACACTTCCAATAACCTCGACATAGGTAGCAGTCACATCCACATTCTACCCAACAATGAGAGTTGTGAAAAGTCAGAAGTGCAACGAGCTCTGACCTTCCTTTGTATCTCTACCTGGCCACCATCACTCGCTTCGACGATGGCGATGTCATCTGAAAGCTGGATCAAGGTAAGTCAGACGCGTACAAGACAGATGTGAATGAAAATTAGCTGACTCGGAGTACTTTGCAGGGTAGACGGACTGTTCTGCCCTTTATTCCGGAAAGACGGGCGGAGTTGACGCGCATCGATATGTGTTCGTTCATGGCGAGCTCGAGATTGGAATTTGGTGTAGTGCTGCTTGAAAGCGACGCGTTTGTGGCTGTGTAGTAGATATATATTTGTGGTAAATACAGGTAAACATATACTTTTGATTAATATATGATTATAATAGACTCATCAGAATGAGTTCATGGAAACCTGTTATCCGGACCTTTCCCTGGTTCTTTTGAACGACTTCACTGAGCGAAGAAAGTCTGTGGCACACCCTCACATCACTCACAACGAAGAGACCCCAGACTCTGGTCAACATCTCTGCTTCAGCCTACCATCACCGAGCAGTATATAGCGGCCTCAATATATCTTCGCTGCCCCGTATATTTCCCTTCCCTTAACTTTAGCTTTGTCAGTTCAATCTTCTGGTCATGTCTTCGACATGTTAGCTTTCCGTATTTTCAGTGTGCCAATTCTCCTTTATTAACACTTTGTAACAAATGCAGACTTGATAATATATACACAAGATTCAACTCTCCGAGTAGCGGACGCGCTCACTGCAAACATCCGTTGACAGCTTTCACTGCAGTTCTGCATGACTCCGGCAACCCAATACTATCATATTGGATGATACCAAACCAATAAACCCACGCTGCTGGCCTATACCGTCCTACAAGCATTATACCCGAAGATATATGGCTTGGATATCTAACCACCACGAATGGCAATGAGCAGCCTCACCGCGATGTCAACCGTGATGGCGTGAATTTAATACTTCTAGATGGCATCATGAGAGGATGAGCTTTGATGACCGAGCGGTGCAGACCATTGATATTCACGCGTTGCTGGGTATTAGCACTTATGGTCGTAATTCCACTCCTACCTACCTCGCATCGAGAAGTATCACTAATCAAGGTTCGCATTTTTACTCATGTCATTCAATTTTTACAGCGATTTTAGCCATATCGCAGTGCCGCCATGTCACTCAAAATTCAGTGGTACAACTTGCAGGCAATGGACACCAGCACTGCGATCTCCAACATTACACCACGCATTGTGATGCACAGCAGCAACCAGCGCCCCGAATAACCATACCATTCACACCAGTGCCATCCTGCACACTTGTCAATGCCCTTCGGTCAGATATTAGATTGAAACGAAGATGTTGAGCAGAGTCTGGGGTCTTTTCATTGTGAATAACGTGAGGGTGTCCGGACTTTTTTCGCTCAGGTCGTTCGAGAAAGGTCTGAATGATCACAGGTTACGAGACACCGTACCGGTCCCAAGGCCTAAGGAACCATAAATATAATCAACGCAATATTAATGATGTCCACATTGTTTCCCTTCTTTTCCCTTGAACCCGCGGCACCTTCAAGGTGCCCTCGCTATGATGACAGCGCGATTCCTTGTCCACATTCTCAACACACTAAAGAAGTGGCTTTCGCAGCTTGCACGTCGCTTTGCGGGTTCATTAACGCTTTTTTTGTCTTTGCTTCGTCAATTTACTTCCGGTCATTTAAAGCTCGGTGCATGCGGTCGGAGGTTGTTTGTTGGGACTCGTTTTTCCAGCGAGGCTCTACCGCGATCCCAAGGGAATATCACAAGAGAGGATGTACCCATTTGCTCGAGTTCTGTGCCTCCTTCGGATGACCCTTATTCAATCTATCCACAAAACTCACAACATCTGCAAAAAGTTACAGTGACACCTTTGTCGCAGACTAATACAACAATACGGAATGGGAGCACTGCAGAGATAGATGGGGGCTCTATATCAGGTTTGCACCAGTCCTCGCAGACGAGAGAGAACTCGGGGAGTCGGACGTCCCATGGCAATCTATTAGAGGGGTCCAGCAGTCCAGGCCCATCAAGCCTCCATGGATTGCCGGGGTCACATCCACGATCACAGATATGCACGAATGATGCTCGTTTTCCGGTTGCTGCGCCCACGTCCTCTACGACGCTTAGAACGATTCATCCCAACCATAGTTTTAGCTCGCAGGGCAGTAGACAATCAATTACTGGGCTACGACCCCACGGACTTGAACGTGTTTATCATATTGCGAACGACATCCATAATTCCATCGCGCCACAAAGTGAATTGCCGTATCCTGGCACTGGTCATCGTGTTCGCTGGACTGTTCCGCCCGGTAGTGACGACTCGAAGCCGGGCTCAAAGATTGTTGAGGACCATGAGGATAAACCTGACGTATTTCCTATGGTTGCGGCAGGAGTCATGAGGTATCAAAGGTGCATTCCCCGGTGAAGATGAGCCTTTTCTTCTACTTGTACTCTAGAGCTGACGTTTTAAAAGGGTCGCCGACAGTATCCAAACTACTGTCCCCGCTATGACAATCACATTTCCTACGTATGATTCAATGTAAGTCCTACTTGAAGTATCTTCTTTCATACATCAACTCTTTCAAGGGTGGATGTGTCCCCATGGACCACGCACGTTCATCCAGAAGGTTCTCGCTACTTTTTGAATAAAGACCAAGTGCGTAAAGTTCATCGATAGTTGAAGACTGGCATTACTAGGATGGCTACTATATGCAGAGAACATTCACGGAAGTCAATATCTTTGACCTAGAAATACGCAAGCTCATCGAAGACCACATGCGGTATTTGTGGCTTGGGCTCAAGTCCGTCGTTGAACAAAAGAAGCCCAACCTCACCATAACGCAGGTGGACCTTGTACTCGAGCTAAAGAACAGTGACATGTCTGCTAGCTCTGCCACCGTTTGTTGGTACTATTTTGTCCACCACAAGAGCAGGTGCCTCTTTTGGTTACACGATTCTGATGTTGGACATGTGCTCTCCGATTGTAAAGGTGTCAAGAGTCTTTCACACATTCGTGGGTGGATCGTAGTTGTAAATGAATTTGGATCTGACGACTTGTCCTGGTTCTCATTGCCAGGGCTTGCCATCCAAGCACAATACTGGTGTGTTCTAGGAAAGGTCTGCACGACATTGCTTACAACACCATCCTGTTCCTAATACAATCATAGGTTCACATACAAGTATACTAACGGACAGCGTAGGCTACATTGGGAATACTTCCCTGACCTGTGCTTAGTTTCACAAGACCATGTCGATGAGGTTAAGGATATGCTAATACATGCGACATGTGGTTAGTACTTTTTAGGCCTTCTATCTTGACCTCATATGTTTGGTCACAACCATCAGATCACATAACATCCAAGCGGTCTTCTGCGCTAGGCGATGTCACTGAACTCAAGGACTATATTTCGGTGGTAGACAGAATTAAGGGTACGTACGCTACGTCAATACTTCCTCGGGGATTTCCGTGCTGATGCGGCTTCTTAAAGTTGGTTCCAGTAAGAGATATCACGCTGCCATTGTCATTGGTGAGGCTTGAATTTGAAATACAACTCCTCCTAATATCGATTATCATTTAAGGCCGTATCATGAAGTTATTCAGTCAGTGCTCTCTCATTTGTCTATCTAGCTGTGATTCATGATGACTTTCCAGGTGAAAATCAGTTTATCAACTTTCACGGGGAGGATTGCGTGAGACTTATCTCTGACAAGACAGTCCATGGTTGGGAATACGCACCATCACTGTTGATGGTAATGGTCGCACCCCTCCTTTTCTTGGACCCTGTGACACAAGTCCAAGAACTACACAGGGTTTTTGTAGATGAAATTGCTTCCACGGCACGGTGGAATGCACTCAGTTTAAAATTGAAAGGGCGACTTCAGGATTCCAATCTCTTGGTAAATCTACCCTTTATTGTTTTGTTGGGTAAAATTAATGTCGAGTCATTTGTAGGCCACTGTCCTGCTCAACGTCAATGTTGGGTTTCTCACTCTCGACACTGTTGATAAGGGCAGTAAATCTGCCATTCAGATGGCTTGCTACATGTCCTTGGTGACGAGCTTGGGAAGTATAATTCTCGGCATCTTCTTGGTATGGCATGAACAAACCTCTGGAGACAATACAGCTTTGGAAGCAGTGCGTAATTCATGCTGCATAACTGGAATGTTTCTTACGGTAGCTGTTTCAGGCATCATTCGCATTAAAACTTCACGACAAGAAGCACGGACTTGAAAAGCTGGCCATAATTTACAGCGTTCCAAAGGCGTTACTCATGTGGGGGTGAGTCCGTACCATAACGTCATAGGTGGACGCCCTGACTTCAAGTTAGGATGGTCTTCTTCTTTGCGGCATTCTCCATCAATTGGTGCAGTGCCGGAGGTACAACTTCCTGGGCCGTAGTTGGTGCTGTGATCCTGATCGTATTCGTGATGATATCATACGGCATCATCCGCATCAGGGAAGGAGAACGCTGGTGGTGGCGTGCAATTGGCCAGCAACTATCATCCCTTCTGGCTCACGCTTGGAAACGAGTCATGGAGTTCGTGGGGGATGAAAAGAGGTCAAAGATGCGAGCCCAGCCCGATCCTGAAGAACCCAGTCTTCACACATTGACAGGCCTCTCGCTAGTAAACTTCAACGTCGAGGCGAATGTTTCAACTTCACATAACTTACAATCAGAAATACCAGGCATGGACGGTCACGAAAATCACTCTCCCTCCTCTATCCCTCGAACTCACTCATACCACTCTGATGCCTCTATGGCGTCCGAGAATGAAGGACAAACAGCAGCAGCGGCCGACGATACGGGCACCGCAATATTGTCTAGTTCATATCATACAGAGCACAAGGAGAATGCGAGATACACAGACAACGTCGTCGTCGAGCCCGAGAGGTCGATGATCGTCAGCCTTCGCCGAACACAACTCCAATTCCAAAGTTCGTCGCTAGAAGCGCCACTAATGAACCTTTCCGTTATGCGACGGGACAAGATGATCAAGACATAGAAGAGCACAAAGATTAGGAGCTGATTTTGGTGGCCATGACAAATCATGAGAGTACCAACACCCTAGCTAGGTAGCTATCGCCAGTCAGAACTACATCTACTGGTAACTGTAAAACATATATTAGATAACTAGCTTATAGGCCAGCTGCGAGGTGGATAACCTCGTGGGGCGTCTCATCACTGACGGCGGTATGACATATCGATGGTCTGAGCGCACGGAGATAAGTATTATGAGACTGGAGCTTGGTGTCATGCTGCTTGAAAGCGACACGTCTGTGGCTGTGTAG